TATGCACAGCTGGACAGCAAGACTTATACTTTTTGTTTGCATTTTGAGTCCATTTCATGCCAGAGGATCATATTCTGTGTGGTTTTCTTTATTCTGATTAGTTATATTCTGTATCTTTAAGTTGAGAAACACATTTTATTTGATTTTTTGAGGATTTATTCCTAATTTTCCATCAATTGCATGAGTTTTCATTCAAGTCTATGGCAAAAAAAGGTCCAACATGTGGACCTTCCTACATTGGGACACTGTTCAAGCACCAATTACATCTGCATCTTAGGTAGGGTCTCACTGTAATTGCATCGGAATAAAATATTTCCCCAGAAAACCTTTATTTTGTGTTTTCTTGCAAGTCATTGCGGCAATCTCTTTATGGGCACTAAAAAATCTTTACTATAAAAATTTTTGTCAACAAATTCAAATAACATTGCAGGTTTTGAAAGGGACCTAATGAAAAAATAATTTCAATCAACAATTTGTTATACAGTAACAAGATTTTTTTGTAATGAGTTTTAAATTTACATGAATTTGTTATCAGTAACGCGCTGCTTATCAGTAATATTATCAGTAACTTGTTATCAGTCACACGCTGCTGGATTGTGAAAAGCCAGGCATATAAGACTTACCGTTTTTCAGATTCCTTCTTCAGGGTTTATTTTCCATTTTTACCCACGGATTGTTGGAAAAAGATAAAGATTGTAAGAGATGAAGAAAACGGTTTGGGTGGCGGTATATAGGATTCAGATCTCCTTTCTCAGTTGGAGCCTGGGGAGAAAAAATAGATGCAGTACACACAAGAATGAGGCATCATTATACAGTATGTTCAAAAAAGTGAAAAGCAGTTTTAAATGCACAAAATGTGTGTGGGGCTTGTCGAGGCTTTGGAGCACAGGTGTACCGTGTAACTAACATTCAGTTTTTGAATTAGTTTTCACAGAAGGATTAAATCACAGCAATCAGCCCAGGACAGCCTGGAGATATTAAACAAAATTGCAAGGTTTTAATTTTTTGAACAAACAGCTCAACTTTTTCATTCACAGATTCAACACAAGTTAGCAGATCAGAGATAAAGATGAGATTGCATTTTTGAGAATATTTCAGTCTATTTATTCATTTTTTTATTGCTTCGCCTCCAATAGGTGATGTGTTGGAGATCACATGATTTTGAGAATGTCCAAAGATTTGGTATTTTGACAATCTCCAGATTTGAGTGTTACTGCTATCAGCAATTTCAAAGTACTGTCAATAACCCCTGCAAATCAGACTTTATTTTTTCAACAGACTAGTCTGTTGCGTGAAAAGTCTGTTATGCAAATTCAATTATTAGAAAATTAAAAATTTTTACTTTTCACCATTAATTTCAAACCAACAGAAGTCTGTTATGCGGATTTAGTCCATTGCACAGGAGGGAAAAACTGTGTCCAGAGGTGGTTTGTTGTGCAAAAAAGCCATTGTGTGGGTGGTCCATTGTGTGGGGGTTGACTGTATTTGAGATAACTTATGCTGCATCCATTTCCAGGCTGTGCCATTCCTTCAGTGGTTGGCTTGAAACTAAAGAAAACTTTGCTAAAATGCTTCCCACACAGAAAAAACTTGGATTTTTGTAAGGCTTCCACACTTCATTACAAACAGGGGACTAGCTTTAAAATGTTTTCTAGGGAAAAAAACGTAAGATTTTCATAAATAATGTATTGGAACAATTGCAATTCCTTCCTCCACTTTACAAACACTCTAGCTAATAAATCATACACTGTTCCTTATTTCCCAAAACATTAACATATCGCTTTTTTTCAAATGAAAAAAACGTAAATATAGTTTGAATGTTCTTTAATGTATTTCATACATAGAGGGCGCTCTAACTTTTAATATAATTTTTTTATTATTTGTGCAGCCTATATTTGAGTCAGCAAGAATTTTCTCCTTATGCACCTTCCCAAAAACATATATACCGCCCAAAATATTGTAAAGTGCAAAAATAGTGTAAAATTATGTAGAATGGAAGAACGAGAGCACTCTCAATAATAAGTGAGCGATGCTAATAGTGTATTTGCAAAACAAACAATGCAGAAATCACCATGTCCGTTATTCCGCGCTCTTTGAGAATCCCCGCGAGATTTTTATCGGTTCTGTGGACAATCAGTGAACTCGCGTCAACAGTGTTGTCAGAAAAATTTGCCAACCCCAACGGCACTGGAATTTGCATGCGCAGGAATGAAGTGCTCAGACATCACATTCCCATGATAATGGACTTTCAGCTCAGCCTGAACTCGACTCTCTGCATTTTCGTCATAATAACTTACTAATATGCAAGTCATCATAACAGAGGACTTGGCGGCAAAAAATTATTTTTTCCATTTTCATTCACAATAAGGATGAACCATTTATGACTAGCACTGGTTTTTTTTGTTGTTGCCAAAATGGTTAGCCCTCCATATTTGGCATAATGCTATGCAAGATATTATTCAGTTGAGCCTTCATAGCACAAACCTTACCGAGTCGTTTGCTTTTTAATTCGAATTTGTTTCAAGTCTCCATCGTAATTCCTTTAGAAACAAAGCAATAAAACCTCTCTATATCAAAGGACTCTTCATCTCGAACCTCCGTAACTCAAATTTCCTCAATAAGCCTTTGGCCTGTTATCTCTAGAGAAGAGTTCCCCCCAACCTTTTTGGGCCTATGATTATTTTAAAGTACACAAATCGTGTAAAATTCATGTAGAAAGAAGAACGCGAACACATCTCAAATGAGTGATGCTAATAATGTATTTTGCAAATCAATGAATGCAGCAGAGATCACCATGTCTGTTATTCCGCGCTCTTTGAGAATCCAGCGCTCTAAAAATAGCCAAGACACCTGTTAGTCACTTGAGCGCAGTTGTCACAACAGTCTTTTTAAACGGTTGGGGTTGCCGTGACCTTAAACGTACGCGTCCTTACTTCACGAGTCTGTAGTGTAAGCCCTGATGGACTTCCAGATCAACCGGCTACAAGCTGAACTCGACACTCTTCAAGCTTTCCAGGCAAGGCGAACATTTTTACTCAGTAACCCGATCTTAGGCTCTTCACCGCATTTCCGCACTGCTGCAAGTAATGCAGGTATGCATGTCGAAACAATGCAGTTCCGTGTGAGGATTTTTTTGAAAGAGGAAGAGGGAAAAAGTTGTGATGGAAAGCGTGCTGTTTCAAATCCTGTTTCTTTAACTTCTTGAACCAGTGTTGCCCAACCTGCTGTGGTCCTCGGACCAGAGCCGGTCCAAAGAAAATTTTCTGCAGCTTATTTAATGAATTTATTGAAAGTAGCAATTAAGTCTGTTATCTTTATCCAAAATGTTTCAAAGACAATTTGCAGAGTTGAATTTATCTGATGAAAAAATAAAAGTTGGCTTTTATCCCAACTATAACACTTTAAACAAATGTTTGCAAGCTGAAATTATGTATTTTATTTGTTTAATTCTGAGAAACCTTTCTTCAAGCCCACCTTTCAAATTTTTGAAGACATTTCCCTATTATACATCAGCTGCTTCATTGATGTTGGTTTTTTAGCAAAAAAAGCAGAAACTTTTTGATTAACTGCCATAAACTCCTTCAAGCAAAACTTTTTTGTGTCTGCAAAAAATGTATGAAACTTTGCTGGTCAGCAGAACAATTTTGAGGAATTTGCCAGTCTGCAAATCGTTTCTGGAAATTTGCTGATCCGCGGTCCCAAAAAGGTTGGGGAACACTATCATTAAACAAACCGATGAAGAATTCCAATTAAAGCGGGTCCCTTCGTAAGGAAACTACTCCATTCCAAAAATGAAAATCTGTGCGTGAAAATTTCCTGATGCAATTAAAAATTGTACATAAACTTCCAATGTACTGTAAATTATGAACCTTCAGATGAAATACTCCAATTGTGATCTAAACAATAAACTTATAATAATTTCTACGATTGCTTTTGATTGGTCAGTGAAACTATTCAATTTAGGATTTTTCAAATTCATGAACCGGGACTTTATTTCAAATTAATCTTTAATACAGTAAAAGTATACAAGGAAGCAAAATAGGCTTGTAAACAACAATAATGTGAGTGTTTAATCCATATGTAAATTGGATTTTCGAGGTATTTTTGATTAGATGGTGGAAAGATTTCTTCACTGAATTTCTGCCTCTATGAAGGATGCGGAAATCTTTCAATGTTCCTAAGGTCTTATTAAAAATTTTAATTTTTTCTGCCAAGTTGTGAGGTAAGCTAAAAAAAAAGCCGAAAATTAATTTTTTTTAATCTTTGAAGCATATCATAACTTCGAAATATAAAAAATACTGTGTTTATACTTGTATTACTGCATATCAATTAATTTTAACCCTATTCAAACCTTATTGAATCTTCAGTGGTCCATTATGCTTAACGGAATATCGAATTTATTTCTGAGCATTCCTCGTTTATAATCGGGATAAATTACGTACTCTGTAATCCTTTGCATGTCCCAGGGGAAGACGGATTGATTTTTTTTTCGAAATTTTATCAACAGAAAGCATATGAATAAAATAATTTTCCGCTGACGAGGAAGGCTTCATAATAATTCCCTCATAAAAAAGAAACTTGTACCTGAGAAAGCATTTGTTCGACATTTTATTTTAGACCAGAATAACACACCATCGCATCGCACAAATCAATTTTAGTACTTGAAGTTGTATTGCATCAATTCGTGTGTTTTTTTATAAGGTTAAGTTGGGGGTCCTAACAAAAGAGTACTAACGTAAATGCTTAAAAACTCGGGGTCGTCTACAGTTGTTACATAGTCTAATGTTCGGGCTATTAGAAGAGTTCTCGAAACCAACAAAAAACCTCGCTTTGTAAGTCGAGAAACTGTGTTCCTCGCCTCAAAAATAAGGCCCTTGTATTCTTCAGTTCCGACCTCAGTTTTCCTTTGAACTCCACCACAGAACTATTGATTTGGATATTTGTAAGAAAGAAAAAAAAAAGGCTTGGTTGCAGTTTCACAACCCTGCATTGTCAGCAAAATGCCTGCGGAAACGGTCGTGAGTGTCTATGGTGGCGGAATTTGTCTTCGATTCACAGCGTTTTTCCAAAAATACGACTGGGTTCAATGAGTTCACAGTATTTTTAACGGAAATATACCCGTTCAATCTACGTGTAATTTTTCTATATTCATCTAAGAAGAAAATTCAGGCGAATTGGGATTGAGAAGTGCCTTGAAATTGTTGGAGGTGATGAATAATTTGATCCATTTATTAATCTTCAAGGTCGATCAGTCGCTAAAAAATCACGTAAAAGGGAAAATTCCGAAAGAAAAAACTAAATTTTGCTTTCAAAAATGTTATCAAATATGTAAAAAAAAAAAGTGTATCTGATGCCACGATAAAATATTAGCAGAAAAAATTAAGATCGAGAAGGTCGTATTTTTTTGGAGAAACGCGACGATTTTCATCGGTTGAGGCGATAAATTGAAAAATCAAATTTTATTTCGCAAGTAGTAATTACATTTTGTTTCTTGCTGAAAATGTGAGCAGAAGTTGATCGAAGAGACCAGAGCGGAATCCATCAGGAGTCCAAATTGTCCGACTTCCGCAGCCAGACGGAATCGTATTCTCCAGCCGGCAATTTGTTTGAAGCTGGTCCAAGTGGTGAGTTATTCGTGGAAAATTTTGCACAAGCATAAATGCAGCAACGAGATTTTTGAGTGAGGTCATGCTTTTATTTGTGTGGAAACCGAAATCAGATCCTCGGAGTGATCCTGATGGTGCTGCAAAGGAAATATCGCATAGTGCCGTCACTGACGGACCAGGACGCCATCCTGTTAGTGCAAATCACATTCTCCTCATTCCTGATAATAACCCCGCCCTTACTGCTGAACTACGTTACTGCCTCAAATTCTGGAAGGACGCCATTGCAGGGAAGTCTGGCGGTGAGTGTTTCTCTGTACTCTAGAGCAGTATTCCCCAACCCCTGTGTGATCAAGGATCACAAAAGAACATAAATAAAAATGCAGGCAATCAGCCTTTCGAAGGCCCAGAAAACATATTCAAGGGGTTTCCTTGAATATATGTTCCTAGGTTTTCAATAATTTGTTTTATGATCTTCAGCAGAGTTGACTACAAAGAATAAGAATACAATGCACAAGACAGATTTGAATAATAACACAGGAGTAACATAGATTTGTGCACACCAGTCAAAAGGAATAAAAAATATAATTGTTTAAGAAAGTTCAGCGCAGACTGACTCTTAAAATCAAATTATTTTGAGCTTTGATTGAGGAGAAAACCTTCATCGGTTTCCTCTCTTGTTTTCTCCTCAACACCCTGCGTCAGACGTTTTTTGCTGGTTTGCAGAAAAATTGCTCCAGGCGAATGAATTTTTCACTATTAGCAATTTATGATATTTCAGCATATTTTTTTTCATTTTGGCAAGACGATGGTAGTTAAAATTATCCCCAAGACTAAAATATTAGCAGGAAATTAGCAGCATATTAGCATATTAGCTGAAAACTATATCTTGGCTTTTTTTCAAATAATACTTCAGACACATTTTTATCTGATTTAGTAAATTATTTTAATTTTGGAGTCTGAAAAATCTTTCTTCAAGCCCACCTTTCCATTTTTTAAAGACATTCCACTATAGCTGCTTCACTGGTTCTTGAATAACTTTTGCAACCTTTTTTTTTGTGCACAATCACAGTCTCTAAAAATCATTTGATCTTCAAAACATCCCCTCTTGGAGGCCCCCTTTCTGCTGAAAAATAAATAAATGTATCTGAAATACTGTACAGCATTCTCAAAAACACAGGCTGATCTTGACCTTCGCACTGCTTACTTGCGGGAAATCCGCCTCAATTCCTCACAATAGCCAGCCACATCCTGGTTCTGTACACTGTATCGCAGTTGCGCAATAACGGAACCAGATGTGATTACAGTACACTACACGCCTTTGACTGTGCTGGGTGGTTCGGAGAATCAAATGGGTTCGTTCGTACAACCGCACTCGGTTTCCCGCAGCGTATACGAGGGTTCTAACAAAAGTTCTCGGTAGGGAAATGAAAATGGCGTCTAATCGAGCTGAAAAAAAATTATTCTTGAGGGAAAACATATTCTTTGGGACATAAAAAAAAGCAGCCCTGTTTGAAAATTTTTTTTTCAATGTTTTGCAAAATTCACCCTGGCAGAGTTTAGCTATCCACTCAAAAGATGAGGCGCCCTTCCTGCAGTTTTTATTTATTTTTTTAGCCCAGCTTTTCCCTCAGAATTCATGAAATCAACATGGCATTAAATCCAAAGGTTGCCTCCAGGTCTTCTGAGGTCATTCCGCCATTTTCACCAACAGCCGCCTTCACAACTGCCACATTGACCACCACATTGGCGGCTGTGAAGATTATATTTTTAAATTCTAATTTTCAGTGCGGTTGCCCATCAGCTTCTAGATGAAATTACAATCAAATCTTCCCTATAAGTCAAATTCCAAGGAAACAATCAAAAAATTCAGCTTAGGGAGGTTTACATTTTGGGAGGTTTTGAGTTTGGGAAAACACATTTTTGTTGCAGGGAAATGTGAAAGAATTGCAGGAAATTGTAAAAGGGAATACTTTCTGGGCCTGAACCCTTCTGCGGCAGAGTTGGACTTTTTTGTTCTTGCAGATGTTGGGTGTTTTTCAGAATCACATTTTTAAAAAACCATGTCAGTCTGTGCAGGGCAAAGCTGGGAAAAATCCTGGCATTTTTTTAAATTTTCCATAAAAATGTTTGCTCAGAAATGAAAAAATGGCCTCTTCAAGGATCAATTTTTCCCCCTGGCCTTGTGTTGTTCCTTCATTCGAAGATTAAATTCAAGATTGAAAGGCGGGAGCCCAGGTTAGAGGTCACTACCAAAAAAGTCTGAATTAGGAAAATTGCAGCATTTCTTTATCCCTGGATAAAAACAGAGTTTACCCTTCCCACCCTGCAGAGGTTGCATAACCTTGGGTAAAAATGAAATGCAGGCCCAACAGAAAAAAAAGTCCAACTTTGCCCTGCAATGAAAAGGAGGCTGTTGCTGTTCAAGGGTTAACTTGCTTCTTACATGAGTTTACAGCATGCTGACCTTGGAGTTAGGGGTTCATTTGCTCAATTAGTCTATCACTTCCTTTCAAGACACATGAAGTTACTTGTTTTATTGCTTTTCTCTTCCATATGTCAAAAAAATAATAGCCAAAGGGTCTCAGAAAATTTGACTTACCCAGGTTTGAGAGGAAAAGACTTGGAGTTGGGGAGGTCTCTAATAGTCTCTAATGCATATGGTTCTAAGGGAATTGAGAGAGGGACTCAAAACTATTTTGAGTCAGGGAAGTTATTTGACTTGGGAGAGTTGACTAATGGACATTGAACAGTATAATTCTCAAGAAATTTTTTAAATAAAAAAAAACATTTACCCAAGACTGAAATTGGTGTTGGTCCCTTCTTACATATATGCACACAGGAGGTCATTTACCTGTTGGTTGGAGCAGTCCTCTTCCTCACGTGCGGTGCTACTTACATCCACAACTGGTTAAACTTCCGCCCGGCGGACTTTGA